AACGAGCATCTTCCTTTTTTTTGACACTACTATGAGAATTGATTACCCTACTCAATTAACCTTACTGCCAGTATATTAGGAAAGGAAATATTTCTTTACGGTGACAGATTGATACCATACGCTATATCACTAGGATTATTTATTTTTGTCTAGTCGTTGTCTCTATTCTCCAAGTCATGAAGCTCTTTCATCAAATGTATCAATTTATCTTGTTAATTATTGATCATACTTTAAGTTTAGGAATGATTCATACAGACACTCAATTGCTAATTACCTCCATAAGCGTTCAATTGCTGCTAGGATATTTAAATATATATCATTTCTAATATGGAATACTGTAATATGATCATGGTTTAAGAATATATTTGATTATTATTGTAATCACATACCTCTTAAAGAAAAATCTAAATACTCATTAAATAATCTGAATTATATACAATGCTCATTAGATTTATTCTGCCCAATGTACCTGTATGAAAGTTGGAAACTCGTTTGCTCTAAATGTGTATTTCTAATTTAAATGAATGTTTCGTCTGGTAAAGTATTCAAGTTGCCCAAGTTTTTTGATTTAGATCAATCGAAGCGCATTAATCGAACACACTCGAAAAAAGCAATTAAATTTCAATGATACTCTTCATTGTCGAACTGAATCGTTCAAGTTACAATCAATATTTAATAAATGAAGATTTCCATTCAAAAAGCTCATTTTGCGATACAATTGAATAACGAGATAGATAGATAGGTGGATGGATAGAGAGAGAGAAAGAGAGAGAGCCTAACTAAAAGTATTGGTATCTAGCGTAAAGTGTTAATTAAAATGGCATTCACGTCACATGTGACTGAATGAATCAAATTTGCCGGATTGTCAATGTGTTGGAACAAGTGAATCGAATGGTGGCGTGAGGCGAGACAATTGCAATTGCAACATCTGCACGAAGCTTGGTCATGGCGATTGACTCATTGTATCAACGTCGCCCAGCTTGAATTACCATACACTGTCAATGCCCAGATTCCGAATGGCGATCAATTAAAGCAACATACGCTCTCACCCTCTCTCTCTCTCTCTCGGCTCAACCACTCGGCACCATTGCCTCAATTCCGATGTGCGATTGCATTATTAATACGCCCGAGAGCCGTCTATACTACGTTTGATACTGTGCCAGGAGCGTTGATTGGTTGATTACTGATCTAGCTGTTCATGCATTTCGTATATTTATTAGCGATTACCAGCCATTTTCACCATTTACTCAACGTTTTTTAACGTATAGATAATTTGTTGTTATTATTGAAATATCTCTCTTCTGAAGTTACAATCGCTATTCGTATCGCACATTTTCTGCATGGATTAGCTTATTATCATTTGGCAGGTTGTATAAAATTTTATTTACATATAATAAACATTTCTTGTAAATTAGCATCACTGTGTAATATAGTGGCTCAAAATTGTACAGGAAATATAATTCACCCGTTGCAATATTTTCTTCGATGAAATTTCATTATGTTGCATGTAAAACTTTGTGACTGTACTCTACTAATGGCAGAGCTTGCTTTTATTTGTAGCCATTAAAGTCGAGCTCATCGGCAGCAAACAAATGCGTTTCATAGTCGAGGAATAATGAAAAGCCGATAATTGAAGCAATGTTTCATAAAAGCAAGTAAAAGTTACACAGAATCTATATGTAATTTATTAGAGTTAATTCTAGTTATATTAATTATAAATTAATGAGTCAAAAGATTATTTTTATATAAATTATTTTTACTTTACTACATATATTTGAAAAAAATTAATTTATCTTAGAAAAATCAAATTACCCAAAAGATTGACTGATTATTATTACGAAGCTAATGAATATTTTATAATGTATTTGCCATCCGAACTCGTAAGTTTAAAAAACGATGAGTAAAAAGCAAAGATTATAACATTGCTTAACGAGATAGCATCAGACAAATTAAAGGGAACTTTTGTTATGCAAAGTCTCTGAAGCGTAAAAAGAACTTAATTAGCAACAGAGAGAGAGAGAGAGAGAGAGAGAGAGAGAGAGAAGGAGAAAGAGAGAGAGAGCTTTTGGCATTAATTAAAGTCTATTTTCTCAAAGAAAATGCTGACAAGATATCGTGCGCTTAAAAAGAATGAGAATTACCACTGCACAGTTAAGTCTATTGACCTAATAAATTAAAAAATAAATTCAACAGCAGAGGCTACAGAAGAGTTTATGTGCTTTTTTGTAGAAATATTATATCAGCTTCTAATATTTATATAAAATTCGATAATGAACTCACAAATTATTAAAGACCTTCCTGAAAAATAACTTTATGAATAACTTGTTATGGCAATAACTTTAAAAGCGTCGATTAGCAAGGCAAAGCTCCTTCCATGAACGGAAGTAAAAAAGCAGGTGTCACGTTCTTTCTTTTTCTCGGTCTCAAGAGAGTCGAGTAAAAGACATCTTGGCAGTTTAGCAGACGTAATCACATCTGCGTGTAGCGTGAACACTTTTATAGCGTAAGGTGCGCGCATCGTCAACGACACTTTTATACAGCGCACCAAAGTTTATTCTCTTATTCCTTCCTCATCATCATTGTAAATTCTCGTGGGTTGCTCGCATTGCTAGGTAAAGGAAAAAAAAGCAGAAAATGAAACTAGCTTGTGCCTTGGAGAAAAAGAGCATGTTCCACTTAGGTTGGCGCCTCTATAAAACAATTAAAGTGCCTTACTCGCTGGGGGCGTTTTGCTTAATGAAAAAGGTGCCCATTCGGGAGCGACGCGTGTCCGAATTCCGCGCAGATTGTTTTCTCGCCTCGCGCGCTTCTTTTTCATTTTTTTTATTTCACCGCCATCAACGAGGTCACAATTCCGGAGGGTGGTAAAGAGAACGGTGATACGTTGATTTTGCTGATTTCTCGTGTAGCAAAGTTGAGTCCCAGTTTGGCAGGTGTAATTACAGAGTTCCGAGGTCGACGCAGCGCGCGCTATCTGCGCTTTCGCAGTGAGAAAAAAGGCAGAAAAATGTTTGCCCCTCGCGAACCACGAGGCAAGGAAAAAGTTTGAATGTCAGCAAAACTCATCCTTTTTCAACGACGGAAATCAAGGGAAAAAACTTTTACTTTTTACTCCCTGCGATGCAAGCTGCCAATGTTATATTTATTCAAGCGGAGATTTTTAATTTTTGCCTTAGTTTCAGACTTTTGTTATAACTAACTTCTATTAGCTCTACTTCTCATAAATATTATATAGCATTTCGCGACGTTTTACAAGTTGAATAAATAATTATTGTGCATTAGCTAAACGTTATTTGCGAGTTTGATGGTGCTACGGGTGAGGAAGAAACGTAATATTTCATATAGGTATTAGTGTAGCTATATATCGATTTTCCTAAACTTCATAATTTATTAGTCGATTTTGATAAAATATTGACAGTTGATGTCAAACGGTATTTTCAACACTCCGTACGATGGGGACTCGACTATATGCACGCTCGAGTAATCGAGTATTCTTAAAATCTCGTCCCATACACGTCGTATCGAAAAAGCAACTTAGAAACACGTGCGAGAAAGTGATTTTAGCCTCGTGTGGCCTCTTCACCCTCGCTACGCTCGGATGCAAACGTCCACACGAGGCTGAAATTACTTTCTCGCTCCGTTGCTCGGCCTCAAATGTCCGCACGAGGTTGAAATTACTTTCTCGCACTGATACTGAAATGTACTATATTTCGATTTTGAATGTCGAACAGGTGCATCTAAACAAACTCTACTTAAGTTCTACATATGATTTCAAGTATATTTGTATCCGTTCGCTAACGCGAAAATAGTGAATGAAAGTGGTTATTTGTTAAATTTCCAAAATTCATCTTACTTTAAGAAGACTATCAAAGAGCTATACCGCGTTTTTAGTTTTTCAAATGCTTTTATTGAAATAACATTTGGGATATTTTTAATTAGCTTAGTAGATATTAAGCGACCAGTGACATGTTTGATGTTATTTTAGTCATGAAAAATTACAACTTTGAGATAAACTAGTGACGTCGGGCGTTGTTCGCTCATGTGTGCTATGATGCATGAACTACTATCACGTGACTACGTCTCAGCTAATTCAGTCACGAATAAACTGACTCCACTTTACTATCCATCCACTTTAGAAAGAATTTTATATGCAAGTGTTTCATACATCACAATTGTTTTCAACTACTCCGTAGTTCAAAACGAATATCGATTTTCTTTTATGCGGATATACTGAGTATTATGTATACCAAGGCTATCTTGTTATACTTTTATCATATAAACTTTGATGTATATCTTCGTACTACTCGTATCGTAACCTACTTTTACTACAGTTTCTTTATCCGTTTACAATAAAAATGATAGACAATGTTTAGTCGTGATGAAGAAACACAGCAGAAGGTATCTTGACAATCGTTGGTATGGCTAGTTGCCGGTTTTTAACGTGCAGCTGACGCGCTGGTTAAGAGCTGATACTAACCCTCTCAAGTACATTACTTACCATGACGTTGGCTTTATCGTTGAGCCTGATGGTGCGCGCAGTCTACGCGCGGAACCTGTAAGTAAGGCATTTTTATGCACCCTGAACAAAGATAAAGCTTGACGTGTGCAAGTTGCAAAGTTGTATTACTCTATATACCTGTGGTAATGTCCAAGAAAATGGACTCATTGAACGGAACATAACAAGTATACGTTTTCAACATGGATTACCTTGTTGAAGCAGCATTGATGATATTTCTAAGATAACATTTTGTGTTTTCTGCTTATCACACTTATCTTGTATTATTAATATTCAAACTGGTCAACTTGTGTGGTTTTTCAAATAAGAATAAATGAAAATTGTAGTTAACAATCCAAAAATAAACTTGCAACGTAATTGAAAGAGAATCGACGATATTGAATTCCATCGATATTAATATATAAAGAAAACATTTATTTTAATATCAATATTATACAGTTAACATTAATATCTTACAGTAACCGTTTGATTTCTACAGGATTGATATAAATTGCCATTAAAAAAACAATATCTTCAATCAACAAAGTTGTTACAATTTTCTCTGTTTTAGTGTCAATGATTGTTCATTATATAGTTTTTCGATAAAATTATAAATATATTGATTTAGAAAATGGAAAATGTGAATGTTTTGATTCAATTTTATTTCGAAATATTTAACGTGAATGATATTTTCTCTTTATATTTGGTGCAATTTTTTATCGTTTCGCTCTACGAGCAAAAATCAAAGTGTGTGTGATATTTACAAAGGGTATTTATGTACAAAGGGCATGTCAAGGACGCTTATTTGACAAAATATGTAACATTATCTGAACCCGACAGTTTGTTTTAACGACTTATCATTCTCTTATGTACGGTATAGCAACACATATCGAAATTACTCGTATGAAAATTGTTAATACAGAATAGGAAAATTAACCAACGCTAATTTTTTCTGTCAATCGTCATAAAAAAATCCGCATTTTAATATGATGTTTGGCAAACTTTCTTTTGAATACCGTTTAATTTAATCAGCAAAAAATTATTACTTAAAAAATGGATTTTATAAAATGGCATATGGCTCAAAATAATAGTCTAGATTATCTACGTAGAAACGCGACATTGAAAAATTTTCTACACAGTCGTTTGATCCCATGGAAACTGTAAGTATTCATAAATAAAAGTAACATGTACTTGACAGTTTCACTTCTGTCTCGCATATACACGGGTTTTTTTTGCTTCCAACTGCGACAGTCACATGCACTCGCGCACTCAGTTCGAAAATGTTCCACGCCAACAGTATATAGACTTCCGATTGTTTTACAGCTGGGACTGCAGGTAGCAGGTAAAAGTCATCGTTTTTCCTCCCAACCGACCAGGCTGACAAGGGACCGGACTAGAATACGAGTCTCAGAAGCAGCACTACCGGAAGTAGCCTGCCTGCCATCCTGTCGCCAGCTCCGTGATGCATTGCCGCTGGGTGTTCTTCTGAAACAAACCGATTAAGCTATCGGGCTGCTCTCTAACAAGCCACTAGAAAATTATCTCGGCCTTTGTGTTGTACGCTAGCTCGCTCTACGTATTCGGCTTTTTTTCTAAACAATTTTTTTTTCCTCAAAATATAATCAAAGTTATAATCAAAATATAATCAAAGTTTGTTAAGGTAATATTGATACACAAAAAAAGACGCAAAAAACGTTTACAGAAAAATAATTTATTTATAAGCTGGCATTACCGAATGCAATCTTTTTTAGTCCAAAGTACTTTTTGTGTTTCAAAAACGCAAGTTTTTATTTATTCAGAAACTTTTGTATTTACGCGACATTAATGTTCTTCCTTTTCTGTTAGAAAACTATGTTTTAGAGTGCTTGTGAAGAAGTAATATATAAAAAGGAGTACAAGTAGAAGCAAACTGACGACCTCATTTCACGTTTTATTTGCCATCCACTTTCTGCAAGCATAGAGGACTTATTTCAAATCTCATTTTCATTTTCCCTAAATCTTTCAGTTTTCATGCAAATTTATTAGAATTTTACATGTCACTTATATGTAGATCTTTGGTTGCATGAAGTTTGAAATAAACATACGGAATCACACATAAAGTCTGTGAATGCGCCATAGAATGCGCGAAAGAAATTAGTTAAAATACTGCAAACTGCAATAACTACGTCAAGCAACTTATTCTGAAAGTGAGCATTTATGCTAGATACGCGCGTTAGGTATGACGTATTTCAAAACTGTGACTAGTGAAACTGTTAGAACTAAGGTAATTAAATTGTCGCAATACTGAGTTATAATTGCTGATTTGCAAAACTTTGAGTTTTCATGATACCAATTATCGATCACAAATGAAAGTTCCTTCAATGTTGGAAAAATACGAAAGGTGTTCGATTTTTGTTTTTGTTTTTTTTTTCGCGAGATACATATAGCCTGAGGAAGCGCGTGTTCTTGACAGCTAAGCTTCCTTTTGCATTAGCTGCAAGAGAAAGATATAATTAGCAGGCATAAAGAGACTAACGTCCTGAGTCGGATTTGTTTGCAGATCCAGTCACTCTTCTAGTAATATAATACTTAATCATTTTTCTTGACAGAATATTATTATTACGGGAGCATTGGGATGAGCGTTAAAATCTAGCGTTGATATTACCGGTAAGAGAGAAGAGGTAGGGAGGGAGAATTTGAATTTATGACTTGTCGATTGTTTGCCGTATATACTAATATATAATTACTAATTGGTTTCATAAAACTAAATTTTTTACCAAAGATTGATAAAAAAACACTGTGTGTGGATTCATAATACTCGGCAATTTTTCAGGTTTACGAATTATACAGCGAGTAGCAAATGAAAAGACTTTCTTTTTGTTCGTTAAAACCAACTTCTTCGAAGTGGAAATAAATTTTAGGTGCATGAAAACTTTCGAGTGGCAATTTGAAATATTATAACCAACTGTCTAGCTAAAATAAGCATAATTCGAAAGTAAGCATGATAAAATCCTTGATGTTAGTTATCTAAACTACCATTAGTTCGTTGAAAGGACTTTATTGAAAAATAAAGAAGTTACATGCTTTTTTCGTATGGTTTTCAATGTCATTCTGTTGTAAGAAAATAGGTAATGAAAATTTGACTTATAGAATTAAATTAAAAAACAACAAGATTTAAAAGCATGCAAACTAAACAGTCATCAATCGATGCTCACTACATTTACGATTCCCTCGATAAATTTAGTCAAACGCGTGTGCTTGTGCGCGAGCGCGAAGTATCCTCCTGAGGATGCTTTTAACCTGGGCTTCCTTCTTTTGTATCATTATTCGGAGTGCATAATAATAATTGTGCAAAATGCAGGCCTCAAAAGGAAAAAAGCCCCCAGCCGTACCCATTCCCTTTTCGTACCATCCTTTCGTACCATCGAACGAAGATGACTCAAAGGAAACGACGGCGTCAAAGGTCGTTTTACCAGGCTAATGATCACTGATGTAGTTAAGCTTTCTCTTTCCCTTCCTCTCTTTCTTTCTCTCTTTTTACTCTGCAGAAAAGTATATTACAAGTGGCTGTGGTGACATTAAGACATTTATTCCTGGAAAGTATTCTTCAGTAGCTCCCATTTATATCGGCCGTTGCTTCAAAAATAGGCTACTGTCTTTGAAATTGTCTGTACAGATCTTACTTTTAATTAGTCGCTATCAAGACAATGTCTTTCGTCTCGTTTATTTAATGATTTTGTATTTCAAATTACTCTTTTTCATAGTATTCTAATGGTGATTCATTTCATGCAAAAATTTTATAATCCAATCACTAAATATTTCATGCAACGTAGCATAGATATTCGAATTTTGAATAGATTTCCGACTCTAGCGAATTGCCTTACCGTTGAGTATGTGCACGCGAACGCTATGAGGATGAGCGTTGCTAGGCGAGCACGTGTATAGGCCTGAATCCTGTTGGATTGCCTTCTGGATGAGTAGTCGACTTGTCGTCACGGGTCCCTTTTCCGTGACCAAACTGATGCCACCCCTCGGTGAGTCGAAGTTTATTGCCTGCGAACAGAGCAAGAGTGTATATGTATATGTACATATATGTACGCCTCGCTAACCTTATCTTTCGCTTCGGGTCACGCAGTTATTGCCAAGTCCTGCGTTTCGTGGAAATGCGATAAATGTCCACCTTTTTCTTATTTGTCACTTTTTTCGAGATCATTGAAACTACATCCACAAGTTGCCGTTTCTTTGAAATTATTATTTACGTATTGATGAAGCTGCATTATACATTATATGCATTTATATAAGCGGATTTTTATTATCAAAAACTAATATTGCAAAGATGAAAAGCTAGGTTCAATAGTTGCTGTAGCAATCATATTTATTGACTCGTTTTGCGAACATTCCTTCAGTGTAATGTTTTCTATAGAAGCGATCGCACGTTCCAGCTCCTATTCCTGTTTATTTGTACATGTTTATATAAAGTTGAGAAACATGCTTGAAACTGAACAATAAATTATTCTGATATTTCTGAATATGGAGTAGCCGTATCTTACTTGAAAGAACAGATATTTATCTATAAGAAGCAAAAAACTTATTACTATTGAAACCATAAAGACATGAGAAAATTTGACGATGAAATAATGGTGTGTTAATTCTACAAATATATCGGTGCGAAACATAAATCGATGTGCCGCTCGCATTTGTCTTTGCGTATATAGCGAGTAGCAAGTTTAAGGAAAGAAGTGTATCTACAGGAGCAATGGCATAGTACGGGGCGTAAGTGTCACAAAGGGCGGCAGTCACACACTTAAAGCCTTTATATATGCGAGCACCTCGAGGCATTAGCCTTTTATGAGAGGAATTTTCCGCGTTTATGTCTTTGCGCATTTTACGCGCGTATGAGAGGCGCCTTGTGCTACTTCACATTATTATTTCAGACGATTATTGCTTCGCCATTTGAGGTGCGTCGACGCGCCATCTCGTCCCTTTATCTTCCACATTTACGCTTGCTAATGAAGTCTAATGCCTCGAAAATCTCGGACCTGTTGAAATTAAGCAAAAGCTGTTTGTATAGTACTTGTCACATTCAATACATACTTCACTACCAAAATTATTTTGCAAAAAAATTATGTATATTTGTGATTGCTCCCACTAAATAATTCGTCTCTTACGCTAACTCTTTCAAAAAGTTTGAAATTGATATTTTCTGAAAAATTTATAACGACTGATCAAACTTCTACAGTTACAAAAGTTACTAACTTGTCAAAGTTTGATCCTCGAGATGGGATCTGTCGCGGTAAATTTATCCAATCTATATTTACACTGAGAAATATAGATTCTTATACTTGATACTTCTACAACCTTTGTGTAACCCTTCATTACTTAATTAAAACAACAAAATCACCTCTTCAATTCGGTAAACATTTTATTGAGAATTACTAGTAAATCTGCTGTTGGTAGTAGCAAAATATTATTATATAATTATAACTTTTCAAGACGATATAATATTCGTCTATAAAAAACTACTAAACTTTTCTAATAATATGCATATAAATGCTTACGAAGTCATTGAACGAAACATTTGGCATTGTATTTGTTATAACAATTTTGCTGACTTCATACTTTCTTGCGATTATTTCATTAGTGATGGTAAATCTTGTGTTCCTTCAAGAAATAAACTCCCTTATATAATAATTTGATATCTTATATAAGATATAAAGCTTCGTAATGTTCATCTATACTGTATTTCAGTTTCAGTATTACTCAATAAAAATATTTAAAAATAGTTCTTTGTGTTGAAATGTCATATGTATGGTTATTACATGATCCCTTGTTGAAACTATGTCATGATAAATTATATAAGTATTACATAAAAATAGTATGAAATGAATTTTATCGAATAAATAATAAATATACTGTTGAAACCCAACGTTAACTTCGAATTCTATTAATAAATGTACATGATTTTTTCAAACTGACGACGTCACAGAAGAATGAAGCATGCATTAATATATATAAATATACATTTGCTATAGTTATATTGTTTTCTTATGATTAAATTCAATACCTTCACTGAATATTTCAGAAAACAGGTTAAGTAACTTCAACGAATAACTTCAATGAAAAGATTATTATATTTAAGAACGGAACGATCAATCTATAGACATAATTTTATAATTGCAATGAAAGTTTCCATCAATTAATTACATATAAGCACAATCCAACCAAATACACTTTTATTTCATTGAACGAACTATTCAATTCAATTGAATAATTAGTGTATTTTATAAAATATTTAATTGATTTGGAAGAAAAATAATTGTTTTGTGAACCTAACTTTAGGACTGCAATGATCAGTCTATGAGAGCAGTTAATTTTTTTAACCAGCTATGCAATAATTAGTATAATTGATTAAATATTTCATCAAATTGAGCATTCAGCAATCATTTCATACACGTCACGTCGTCTTTCAGACGAAAAATTTTATCAGGACAGTCCATGAAAGTTAAATGTAAATAAATATGTTAGTATTGTCTTGAAACTGTCACTTGTTTTCATTAAATATTTAGCATACTTAATTTAACTTTTAATAGATTTGAAAAAACATCAATCGTTTTATATTTGTAATTTTGTCATTTTATTAAAATCGTCATGAAATAAATAAAATATTGAGTTTATTGAAAAGCATCTATGCTTAAATTCATGAATTAGACATTGGTTGTGATGATAACATATTATATTCATTCAATGAAATATTTCTTAGAACGAAAATAAATTTTGGTATAACAAATAATGTATTTTAGTGCATCTATCTGCATCTGGATATAATAGATGAATTGTTTTAATTAAGTTATTCAATGGACTGCCGATGATTAAATAATTTTATTGAATCTATTCTGTTTTCATTAAAAGAATGAAATTTTTTTCTTAGTGTAGATTCATCTACTTCAATGACTTACCCTTAAACTTTTTTTAAGTAAAAGTAATGTGAGAATAATAAATAAAATAAATTAGATGTCTTCGCGTAGAAAATATTTGCTGCTAATTTTAAAAGTTGGGCAAGATAAATGTAGCGAGGAGTTAGCTGAACGGGCTGGTCGATGGAATATCGGCGTACCTGTCGATTATGACTCCAAATCATGGCAAGAGGTGGTTCGGGCGCGTTCCTGACGAGGCACGTGAGATTGATGGTGCTGCCCTTGTTGATGAACAGCTCTGCGCCTCCGGCAATCTCAGTAATCGGCTCTGCAACATACATAGCAAGAACACACATGTAGGTTTCAAGTGAGAGGCATGTGCTAATCGAAGATCTTATAGTGCTTCGTATATATACATTGCACTACCACATAAAAGTTACAGCTCCAGAGAAATAGAAATATCCTCGCCTACAGAAACCCCTATCGGGCACTTGATGCTTGTCGTTGGGCGTGCTGCGAAAATGGATCGTGCGACTCGAGCCCCGTGTGCGCGTTTTCTCTGCAAACGTTACACACCCACGCTGGCTGTTCATTCAGTATGAGTCTTACTTAACCCCACGCTCTAAAGCATTTCCGTTTTATTCTGTCGTTGCTTCTTATCTCTGGTTTTGCACGAGTCATGCTTTGCTCCGTTGCAACATCATTCACCTCGGGAAAAAAATTTATTTATTTCCTTGCGTGTACACAAAATTTTATCTTTTCTGTAGAATATAATTAAGAGATTTCGAAAACGTTCATATATTATTCTTAGTCTCTTTTATCAACAAAAGTGGGTAAAAATTGTAATATCGAGTTTTGTGGGAAACAAGTAAGAAACTTATCAGCTTTGTTAATCTTACGAATATTCGGATAAGAATATTTGATTTTATAATAGCTTATTAAATATATAAAATAATACTTAATGTTAAACAACGTTAAATAATGCTTCATAAGATAGCTACGCATTTTCATAACTTTGCTCCAGTAAGCTTAGAATAGCTTACATCTTAAAATATAAAAGGTAATAACACATAATGAAAGTTTCGACAGAAAATAAAATAACACAAGCTTGCTTATTCCAAATTTTTTTGTTTAAAAAAATTAGTGTCTTAAAAAATAAAAAAAAGAAAGGTTATTCTTGTTTACATGGTAACTAGTAATCGATATGAGTACCGCGCGAACTGGACACTTGTCCAAGTATACAAAGCATATAAATAATTTCAAATTTTCGCGCCAAATCATTACGTCACATCAGCAAGTCAATCGCATGCCATAACCTCTATCTCCAACTAACCAATCAATAGAGATTTTACTTATCTTCATTCTCTTTTTTAGCAAGGAAAAGAATATATTATATTAATTTTGAAAATTTTTTATAATTTTGAAACAATTTACCAATCATTTATGCAACTAAAAATCTTTTTTTATCGAGAAAGCAATCAACGATACTTCGATCTCATCGTAATACTTCACACTGCTCTATGGGCTGTAATCCGCTGAACTCGATCAGCAGCTTTTCCGTGGTTTGCTCGCGCTACCCACTTATGAGAGTTCACACGTATACTTGAGAAATCGCCTCTCACTCTTTCTTTTTACTACAGTTGCCGAAACAAAATGAGTGCTTCAACAAGAAAAAATTCATTCGTCTCTTCAGCCACAAATCCGGATGAATAGTTTGGTCTGCTCTCCTCGTTTTTTTTTTTATTTTATTGTTTTATTCCTTGTTTTTCTTATATATCTTTTTCTTTTTGTTATGAAGCATATGGTTTTAGTAGATCAAGCGTACTTTATCGAAAATAACAATTTTTTTACTGTTTGTTTACCACAACTAAAATTTGAGTGCCATTTATGCGACAAGTTAACAAAATAACGGGAGAGAGAGAGAGAAAAAAAAATAAAAAATTAGTGTTCTCGCATGGGTGTCACAGAATGAAATTAAAGCACGGGGAATTTCATTTTCACGTTCCACTTTGCGCGCAGAATGGTAAATAGTCGTCGGAATTGAGCGTAATTGCACGCTAGGGACACGACGAATGAGGGAAGTGATTTTGTTATGCAGCTACGTGATACGGTTTATTGCGATGAATTTTTTTATTATAAAAGGGATCGTAGTTAATTTTATAGTAATATCTGAATCTGCAATTCCACTTGTCACCCCTTATTAGGTAAAATTTCATTTTTGCTACAACTGAATTTCATTACGGTAAATTTTATTGTGTAAGCGAAGAATGATGTCAATATTTCGTTATCAAGGACCGCGGTTGTCAACGACTGACAAGCGACTAGGCCTGCTGGTAATATTCAACACTAAACATTATTGATAAAATGGCGATTCATAATTCTCGCGAGAAGCTTTCACTTTTTTTAAACTTACGTAAATCGCTACCCAATCTTCCTATTAGCAAAGTTGAAATATGTTGTTACAATCTTTCATCAAAACAAAATAGTATATCAACCCAAATCATGTAATTTTCCAAAAATCATTCGAGATAATACGTTTTGACAATCATGATTTAGTAATTTAGAAATTCTTTTAACGCTCTGTCATATACGTCAAATTAAATGCGTAATACCCGTATACTGTAGTGTATGAATCCACGTTACACGTATTTAAAACTATTTATCAATTTTTATGATATTTGAATAGTTGATGAAATCTATGTACTATGTAAAAAAATGTACGTCAAATAAATAGGACGTGAAAACTTCATAAATTCTGAACATTATAACGTTCATAAATGCACGCACATTCAACGTATTCCAGCTTAAATGAATATTTTTCTCGGCTTCCAAAAGGAGCAGATCTGTATTCGACCTGAATTTTTTTATGTATGTCTGCTCAAATAACTGAAACGGTTCTACCAATTTTAATAGAAATGAATTCATTTGAAAGGGTAAGCTTTCAAGTTGGTTCCGTTTCATTATTGATATGAGTAAAATATAACTTTACGAGTAATTTAAAAACATAAATTCAAACTCAATTATGCTAACCCAAATGTTACATGACTGTAAACAATAGTATCATTTATCGTTTATGTAAACCAATCTCGATATTATTCTTTTATTTGTCGTGGTATTTTAACTTGAAAAATTATTATTCATTGCATGCAATACTGTTCATGGATATTTTACTAAGCCAAAAATATGTTAATGTAAAAGTTTCTTTATGTGTACTAAAATAAGAAATTTAAGAAATATTTGCCAAAGCTGAACAATTTTCAAGTATAATTAACAAAAAAATACATTTAACTAGAATTATTCAATTATTACAAATTTAATCTTTCTTTAATTTACTGGAGCATCTATATGTAGCTTAATTAAAATAAAGTACATTTTTTATATTTTTATAACGTATAATAACCAATTCTATAAATCCTATATATATTTTTTGCAGAAACATATAAGTCAGAAAAATTTAACCTAATAAAATAATTAAAATGATTTCATTTTGGCGACAATTAAAATTCATGAATTGAGGAATTTTTCGCGAATCCAGTGGTAAAAGCATAACGTTTTTAATACAAATGTTCATGAAATATTTATTAATTATTCGTAAGCCTTTTTACTAGGATATTTGTTTATTACATCTTTTCAATGAGAGTGCGACGATTTTCATGGAAAATTTTGAGAAATCGAAGATAAATAATCAGCAGATTATACCGATACGTCTGGGAGAAAATAAGCAGCAAGTATAAATAAACAGCAAAGAAAATGCTTTTTCTCCACCTTGTACCCCTTTAAAGAAATATAAAATCTAAGTGACAAATGGGTATTGATAATTCCACACACATATTTACCAATAAACAGTCGTCTCATTCTGCAGTGACGTAGAGGACTTTATGAAATCAATTTTTTTCATTAGGCCAGTAAAATTATTCAAATTCATGTAGTCAAACTGAAAAATTATCAATCATTATATAGAAGCACAGAGGCTTTATTTGATTTTACTCTTTTCAGATTTTTCTTTAATAACAACTAATACTCAAATAAACATCATTAAGACAACGAATCCAATCCGTTGTGAAAAATCTTAAAGCGAACAAACATGACGCGATTTTGTTTGCTGAAAAATGTAGTAGTTATGTGGTAAGAGGTTTCATGAGATACTTTGCAAATGAAATTCTAGAAGAATCATCTAATGTAGTAAAATATAGTTTTAAAGTGGAAATAGATGTAAATATAATGTAATATTTTGTCATTCAATTCGTATTTTATATAAAAGTAGTTTCGTTATTCAGTATATAATACTTACATCAACGAATTTCATAAAAATAAAAAAATTATACTTGCTGTTTATTTTTAAAGATTTTATTTCATAAGTATTTGAAAGTAGCCGTATATTATTAGTGCTAATACTACTTAAGGTTACTTAGTTATTGTATTAAAACACTAGTAAGAAGATTGCTAGTATTCTAATACAATACCGTTCATAAATTTTAGGCTTATGAGAGTTACATTTTAGTTCAGCAAAGATTAGTATATTGCTGTTGCTTTATGTATGGTGAACAATGGAATACATAGGATTATATATCATGACAGATGACCTGTAAACTAAACATTAATTTTCTAACATTTTTTTAAAGAACTATTCACTTTCAAAAATTATAGTAGTTTAATTAAAACAAGCTTCCAATGACATATATAACAAAATTAATCTTCTTTCCAAAGAACTTTAATTCACTTTGCGTCGTGCAAACAGTAGAACTGTTATGCTTTCAACAGTAGATAAAATCAAACTGCACGGCGATATTTTGAATCAAATTGAGAATATTTTTTCCTCAAATATTTTACTTGTTGATTACGTTTACTAATCAGGTATAAATCGAAGCTTTATATGTGAATAACAGATTTTTGGATCAGCGAAAATTTTGATGTTTGAAAAGAATGACAAAATCAAGGATTTAACAGTAATCTAATTGATTTGCTGACTAACGAAGTAAACATTGTTGATTATTCGTGTTGTACGTTCAAATCGCAATTTATAAATTATAACGGACATAAGAATGAAAATAACTTTAAATATTATAGATTTACATGGATGTATGATAAGCGTGAATTGAAGATATTATTATGTTATCTCATCTTCGAGATCAAATGTAGTAATCCCAGTTGCTCGATCGAGACAGCAATTTTTAGATAAATAATTTCGAATTATCGAATCAGTACTCATTGGTACTTGGTATCTATCACTACGTTTCTTAAATGTCTGTGTTACACACAATTTATAGAAATATTACTCACTTCCCTTAATAGTAAACTACTTTTCCGCATTTTACATTATTCCTTTAT